CTAATATCATTACCATTTTGTAGTTTTTCAAATAAATTTAGTTCATTTATGTTTTAGCACATGCATGTGTTTCGTATACATTCTTTTTTTAAGGGTAAAACTTGACCAGCATCATACACGCTGAACCCTTTTTAAAAGTACTTGCAATATACCAATATCAAAAATTACATTTTAGAAGTATAACAAGCACGTTAAAAAACTTTTTAAAGGAGGAGTAAGTTACTCACTCTTTTACAAATTAATTCTTGAGACATTATGTCATCAAACATTGGATATACGCAGTTTGATAATTTTTCTTTACTGAATAATCATAATAGTAATAATCACTTTTAGAAACTAGAAAAACATTTCGTGAATTACAAATTTATTTTTGGAACACAACTTAAATTATCAATTCAAAATATTTGTATTGTTTTGCTGCAATCATGAAACCTTAATCTTTATAAGCATGTAGGACAGTAACACGAAAACAATATCAGAAAATGACTAGTAGAGTGGATCATAATAAATATTTTTATCCACTACGTATGTTTTCTTTTCTCCAATACATTTCAGCAGTTAATAATTCGATGTTTATACGTTTTTAAAGAAAAAAAATTAAGTAAAAGTACCTTACTTAGCCATTGAGTATAATATAGTTAATTTCACAGCATTTTTACGGCAAGGAATAAAATTGTTCGTTACTACTGAAAGGCTTAAGTTCAAATACTGGTAAAATCTTAATTTTGTTTTCTTAAGCTAACATGAATTTTTGTGAAGCCTTTTCGATTTTTTTGATGGTGTTAATTAACTGTCAAATAAATCAGAAAGTACCTCAGATATATGAATTTACTTTAGTTAGTCCATAAATATTGAGTTTGTACGAAAATTCGACGGAACCACAAATTTTGTGCTTTTTTGTAATTTTTTGAGCACTTCGCAACATTGCTGCTAAAATATGTATACATACATATTTTACGAAAGTGCATATTTGAGACTTGCACATAATAATAACGTTTGGCTAAGAGAGATCGTTAAATTACTACAAATATTGCTAGTATACGTATTAAGGCCTAATGGTTTCATAATCACATGTTGTTTGTTATTTTACGACTCTTTAGTTTCTGCTACATGTTTTAGAGTTTATTAACTAATAGTAAAAAAGCGCTTAACTGACATAAGTTGGAAAAAAATCATTTACATGTAAAGATTTTAAATACGTTATTCTTTTAGAAAAGGTGCTTGAAGGAGTATATACTTACGCTGCTGTTGCATAGGAAATAGTTCTTTCAAAATAATAAATGCTAAAACAAAGTAATAGATAAAATAGATTGATTCTAATGCTTGTTGATAATTTATACGTATTCAATGTAACTCTAATAAGTGTACAAGCAAAATCGACATATTTACTATCATGTCAGTTGTCATAAATAGATGAAGGTATGGTATAGGTATTTCCAACCTAGCACTCTCGGATCTATCTCTGTCCTTTCTGATACCAAGTACTTTAAAAATAGGAAATAAAAATTTAGTTATATTCTAATACCAAGACATTTTTAGGAAATAAGTAAGGATAAAAAAAATGTCATCCCTGAGTGTGCAGATCGAACCCACAATCTTCTGCTTACCAGATAGTTGATGTACCAATTCAGCTACCAAAAAGGCATGCGTTCGCTTTTACTGTAGGTGCTCATTCTTAGTTTTAGCTGTTTTATCATTTCAGCTTGATTTTAATAGGTATAATGAAAATCGATTGTAATGCTTGTTAATAATTTTGACGTTTAATGTGAGTCTAGCAGGCACACAAGCAATATTGTTATATTCATCATCATATTAATCGACACAAATAAATGGAGATACTGTACAAATACTTTTAACCAAGGAATCTCCTAAAAACCAGATGCCAATGTATTGGGCATTATAGGCGAATTTCTACAAGCTACCAAAATGAATATATAATAGTAGGATTTATTTCGTTTCATTTCAATAATGTTCAATTACTTTTTGTTTTCAAAAAATTTTTAAGAAATAAATGAGAATGGAAATAATATTGCCTGTATACCTAGGAGAATCACATCAACTATCCAAGCATTAGAATCAATTTTCATTATACCTATTAAAATCGATCATAGGTAAAAAAAAACTGCTCAAACCAAGAATGAGCATGTGTCTGTACCTATAATGCGAGTAAATATATAGTACTTCATTAAATTCTTACTTCATTAAATTTTTACCAATTGAATAGACTTAACATAAGTCCATCTTTAATAACAAAGCTGCAAAGTTTTAATGAGCCCATTTTCAACTGGGATGCAGCAGCGTTATCAGTTATAGAAGTAAAGCGAAAGTCTTTTTGTATTCCTATTTGGCTTAACGATCCTTACTAGCTAGTTCAGTCAGTGTAGTTTATTGCCCAGAGACAAAAAAATTTCTAGTAGAGAAAAAATGGACATTCCCCTTAACAATTTGCTTATAGGAACACGGGAAAAATAGTTTTGTCCAAATCAAAAGTCGGCTTCGCTTATTTATTTAACAATTTATAAAAAAAATGCCAATTTCTTATTAGGTATTTTGCTTACATATCTACTTATATTGCTCCTAAAGAAATTTTTTTCTACCACCATTCCCTTCGACATCGAATTTTTTATAAAGTAGACATTTTTGAAAATCTATTATTAATTGTTAATATTATGTTAATGGCAAAAATGTGCGGAAAAAAAATTCATACATTGAAAAACTTTAAATTAACGTCAAAAAAACTATCATTTTAACTTAAACGTTACCATGGAAAAATAAAAATATTAAGTTGCATAACAAATAGCTATTCGTAAAGTTTCAAAGTAATTGTTAGTTTTTTTTTAATTAATTTGTTAGAGTAAAACTTTGGAGTGATATTAAAAATTTAATGAATGTTTTATCTACATTCTGCTTTGATAAAAATATTGAATTGAATGTGAGTAATGATAAAAAATAAAAAAAATTGATTTTTGTGAATTTTGACATTTTTTCAGCAAAAATTGTACTTTACAACTCAAAAGATTTCAATAATCTCAGTTAATTTTGCATACTCTCTTTCATGATAAACGTCATTGGATTTGTCATGTAAAAAAAAAAAAAAAAAAAGTATGCTGTAGCTCACTCTGAAGCTGAGGTATCAGAAATCGGTATTTTTGCAACCAAGGACTGATAATTGAATTTCTTAATGCGAAAAAATTTGTGTATCATTTTCACATATTCTCCATCACACTCCTGGAGCACTTAATTACATTATAACAGCTAGCGCAGCTCAGCGCTCCCATCTGTACCCCTCTCTTGTGACTAGGTGGCCGACCGGTTGCATTGCGCATTAGGGCAAAACGTGGCCTGTGGCTGGCGTATGAATTTCAATAAGTTGTTTTACATAATTACAAAGTTACAATCGTAGTATTTAACATTGAACATGATTAATTAACAAATTAAATACAAAAGTAATTGTAATACAAAATTTGTTGAATTCTACGTTTGTTACTGTACAGTTATGTAAAAAAACTCATTAAAATTCGATCGCCAGCTGCAGCCTTTGTTTTGCCCCATACGCACTATAACTAGTCGGTCCCCTAGTTACAAAAGAGGGGTGCAGATGGGAGCGCTGAGCTGCCTTGGCTGTTATTATGTGACTTTCTTGATTTTCTTTAGCTTCCTGTTCATTAAAATTGATGAAGTGCTTCGACAGTGTGATGTATAAATACATGTAGATAATACACAAATTTTTTTGCAATAAGAAGTTTAACTATCAGTCCGTTATTGCAAAAATTATAAATTTCTTGTACCTCGGCTTTAGAGTAAGCTAGAGTATTCTTTTTTTTTTCTCTTAAATTCAAGTTTTTTTTATGACGAATGCAATGACGTTTGTTAAGAAAAAAATTTGCAAAATTGTTTGAGATATTTGCAATAGTTTTTATAAGTAACAAAAAAAAATTTGGTGACGAAACGTCAAAATTCACAAAAATAAATTTTCTTTTCTTTGTTTTTATTACAAAAACATTTAATGCTATGTTTTTGTCGAAGCGAAATGTCGATGAATTGACCGTAAAGTTTGTAATACCACTTCTAAGTTTAACTGAAAAAATTAATTAACAAAAAACTAACAATTATTTTGCAATTTTACAAATAGCTATTTGTTACGTAATTTAATATCTATATTTCTTCACGGTTATGTTCAAATGAACACAATGTTTTTTTTTACGTTGATCGAAAGTTTTTCGGTATAAACAATTCTTTTCTGACCTTTTTTGCCTTTAACATGTTATTAGCAGGTAATAATGGATTTTTAAAAGTGTTTGCTTTATATAAAATTTGATGACTAAGAGATTAATGATTAAAAAATTTCTCTAAGAGCAATAGAAGTGGAGATACATGCAAAACGCTAAAAAAATTGACATTTTTCCTTCAATTGCTAAAAAAATAAATAAAGCCGACTTTTTATTTGGACAAAAATATCTTTTCCGTATTCCTGGGGAAATTCTAAAGGTAAATGTCCAATTTTTTCTTTACTGGAAATCGTAAGATTGAAAAATCCTTCGGGCTATGAACTAGTGTAGAAAAGTGTGTATGTTCGTGCATTTCTAAATTCATTATTGGCACATTGGTCTCAGACGCACGTATGACAAGTTTACAACTAGAGTGGAAAAATATAGAAAACAGTCTGTGCAAGTGCACTTAAAAAGGGGCAAAAGTCAGTCTTCATTTGATCTCTGACTACATATATAGGGGCAATTACTTTTGTCTGTTATGTACTCAAATCTTTGTTCAATCAATCAATATTTTTCCTGTTCTTGTACCTTTTTTTTCATTTCATAACCTAGACACGTTTCATGGCAAATTAAGGATTTGTTATATTATAACTTCAAATAAACTTTTTTACACTTATTCTTAATTTAAAGTTCAACGTTTTTTTTTTTACTGACATAGGTATCGTTAACAATTACTTTTTTTAATATTAAAAAAAAAAATTCTATATCATTTTTAAAAAACCTTTTTTTCCAGAACATTTACGAGACGTAAATCTTGAAAAACATTGTTTGAAAAAAAGAAAATTCAATACGTCTGCACTCCGTAACACACCTGATTTGGTTCAAGAAGAGGTATTTAGCCCTTTTAGTGGAAGCCTTGAAGATTTAGTTAATACGTTCGATGAAAAAATTACTTCTTGTTTTCAAGATTATGAAACCAATGTTGAATCTCTTGCTCCAGTACAAGTTCGTTCTCAAGAAGATATTATGAATGAATGCCAGTAAGATACATATTGTATTTTTTTTACTTTGAACACTTAAAATTATCTTGTTCTTTGCCTATAAACTTGCATATTATACGAAGTGAGGTTTGGAAAATTAAAAATCATGGTAAAATTAAAGTTTACTTAAGTTACAGCTGCAAGCAGCTGCCTAAAGTTGTAAAAAAAAAATTCAGTAAAAATTATCATTTTTATATGCAAGAAACTCAATACTACAATAACTATTTGATTAAAAAATAACACTTAACTTACAGTGAAAGAATGTAAAATCTTGAGTAGTAACTTAATGTCACACTGTTGCACTTCTGAAATCACGAATTTCTTAGGCTTTATATTTTATATCAGTCTTAGATTTCTTGCGTTTTACTCAGTTGTGGGAAATTACTCATTTGATGGCTACAGTTTCGTACAGTTTTCTACAAAGATGAGAAGTTTTCTAAGTTATTTTGAACTAAAACATGTTATGCTGAAAAGATAGAACCTAAAAATTTTACTCAAACGTGCATAGAATAATAAGACTTATAATAACAATAGTCATAATAATATTAATAATAATATTAATAATTATAAAAATAACAATAATAATAATAATAAGTTTTCTCTGAAACATAAGTATTCATATAAGTTTACTAACTTTCCTTAGCTAACTTACCGAATTAAGGGCTTACATTTTGTCTGCTTAATGCCTGACTTACAATCATCAATGTGAGTTTGCTTTTTCAAAATGTCTTGTAAACTTTATTAAAACATATTACAGATGAATTGAAATTAATTAATTTGTCATAGTATCGTCTCATTTACAGTTGTATGACCGTAAATAAAAAAAAATTAGGTTAGGTTGAACTTTCAAAATAGTTGCATCCCGTTTTAATAAAAAAAGTCGACCACCATCATTGAGTAGGTTAGATGACCCAAGATCCCGTCATAAAGGTCAATAGTTGAGTTTCGTCTTAGTTATGAAAGTTAATGGTTAAGTTGCGTTTCGTCATAAGGTTGATAATGTATGCTAGTTTTTCAGTTATAGCATTGCTTTATATAAACTCGCAAACCTATAGCGCTTACACTTATTACTGTAAATTTGACATGAAGCACTTATTTTCGTTTTAAAACTTGTTATTATACCAAGATTATATAGGTAAATTACTTGTAAATTGTACCTCTGTGGATAGGTATATGACCTTGGAAAAAATTTTCTCTAGATTTGTAGCTATTTTCTTTTACTAAAACATGTAATGCATGTTTAGAATAATTAAACCTGTGATAAGTGTAAATTTATTGCCTTAAAAATTGTTTTCTCAAAAGTTCATTTGATATTAATACTAGTAGGGCTCCGCCCACATGCGTGCTCCGCGTGCCAACCCCCACTACTTTCACTCGAACAAAAAGTCGTTTTATTAAAAATACAAAATAAAAACAAATGTCAAACTGGAATAAAAAAATTAAATTAAAAAAAAGACACTTTCATCTAAAATTAAACTATCAAAAATTTGGTTCTTTCCACACTCTTCTGCAAACTTCTTTCTAAAACTCAGAAATAAACGTTTGTTTTGTTACCTAAACTTTCAACGTATAAGTATTATAAGTCAACTATGTATAAACAATTACTCATTTAGAAACTTGAAATTTAAAATGCCCGCGAAAATAGCAGTAGTTTAATAGTTTTTTAAGTACTAATAATTTTATCACTGTTTTATATAAATTAAAAATTTTGACGGAAATTTCCTCCCGTGCTAGAAAACTTGCATGCAGCAGGATTCAGTCAACTAATACTTTATATCGCTAGCGTAATGTCAATTGAACATGTATGATTTATAATATCACCAATAAATAGTGCATAAGTCAAGAAATTAAAAATTTTCCAAGCACGGTATTCAAGCTCTCATTCAAATCAATATCACGTGACAGTGTGGACTTAAAAACTTCTGAATTTTCACGATTTACACGACTTGAGATTAATGACGTCAGAGTTTTCTTTGAAACGTCATTATTCCTTATTGGAATAACGGTCCATTCGAAGCAGACAGCAGACTGTTTTTGTTTACTGAGAGAGTTGTTGACACTTGGCGTATTAGTACTAAAGTTACCATGAATCCAGGCTTAATTAAATAAGCATCTGAAAATCTACTAAAAGTAGATTAAGATATGATGTAAAATTTTATTTATTCCAGCGAGTGCTATGGAAGCATGGAAATGCGTTGCGTAAAAACTCAAAGATTTTGTCATATTTTAGCATATTGGATTAATTTAAGTTTATGCAAACTTACTATAACATGAAATATAATGTTTTATAGGTCAATGCGTCCCAGTTACGGAGATCAAGCCATTGGGTACGTCAAAATTCAGCGTAAGGGATCAGAATGCACTGTTGTAGCAAAAGTTAGCCTTAAACATAAGCTCCGAAACAAAAAATACTCTGTTGCAGTAGTTATAGATGAGGAGACCGAAAGCGTGATCGAAGCTGAGCGCAAGGACTGTGCTGCATCACAAGGGGGTGCAAACATGATGTAACCGTTCTGGCTTGGATGTATAGAAAATCAAAGGAATCAGCCAGAACTGGTACAGAATGTTATTGGAAGAAACCAATACTATCAGGCGTTGGAACAACAACCAAGTATAAAGAAATTGGAAATATGTAATCAAATGGGTTAAATAATCAAAGAAATGACAGTTCTGAAAAATTTTTGAAGTCAATTTCATAACATCCTAGTGGTAAAAACATCAATAGTCATATCGTTTATTTTTTTTCGCCCACATACAGTGCATAAGTTGTCAACGCAGTACCAAGCAGCTTGTTACAAAGGTAATAAAAGTAATATAAATGAATTTAAACGGTACTGTTCTGAATTTTTGACTGATCACAACTGTTTAACCGCATTAAAAATTACTTGTTAACAAGCCAGCAGTTCATCGTAGTTTGAACTTAGATATGGGCCTCTTACTGCTTTAGTTATTTATGAAGCTGCGCAGTGTAAAACGGAGGATGGTTCGTTAGTCAAGAAAATACTTGGCTTACAAAACTTTAACATCCCAGTTATGTAAAGAGGGAAGGATTTGGAAAATACAGTCTTGTCCATTCTTGGTCGTGAATTAAAAGTGAGATTTGGGGAGAGTGATGTAAAAAAATCAGGACTTATTTAAAAAAAAGATTTTCCTATTCTGGGAGCATCACCTGATGGTCTTACAGACAAATATGTCATTCAAATTAAATGTCCAAGTTTTTATGACACAGCAATTAATAATTACAATCATGTAGATAGCAGCATAACCAACAAGATATTTCTATAATCAAAGAATATCTTTGCAAAAGTTTCATAACGTCAGTAATTAACAAAGCCGCGATATTTTGGCATGCGAACATTTTTCCTCATTTAATGAAGTTCTAAATTGTATTTTCATAAACTTGAGCAAATAAATATTGTGCTGATTTGCATAATTCGTAAAATGATTTATTAAATAGCAAGATGTAACATTAACAAATAATACAAATTTAATTCTTATCAAAGTTTTTATTCTACATGTCAAATTGTTTTATTTCTGAAGTCTGTAAACTTACTAGACCTGCAGCAATTATCATCGTTGAATCGATGCAATCTAATTATTTAATATCCACGTCAGAATGAATGTTCAAAAATTGAGAGTGCCTAATTCTGTTCATAACTCTTTCTACATGTATTCTCAAGCTGGATATTTCTTTGGTTAAAACAACATAATCTTTTGCAAGTGTAACATTTTATTGTACACTGAGTGTCTTATTAAGTCAATTTTCTGTTTGTTAGATAGTATCTTCGTGTTTAAATCCTCTATATGCTATATCTTTTTTATTTTTATATAATTTATCTAGGTATCCACTATTTTCTATTAAAGACATATCAGTGAATCTACCACCAACTCCTTTCGACAAAAAAATAATCAAGCCATCCGGAGTGACAGCTATTAAAAATTTACTTGTATTACATTTTTTGTAGTCAGACCACGTCACAGCCTGATGGACAGCATCGGAGGGCTTCTCTATTTCTACTTCAAAACAGTTAATAATATTGTGTACATCATAATAGAAGTATTGGAATTGTTTAGGAAGATTTGAACTAATTTTATGGTTACCTGGCGAAACTATTAACTTGTTAAAATATTGGCCTACGGTGTAAACATTTTTTTTTGAAAACTTTTACTATCCTGGCTTTCAGATAAACCAAATTCACAAACCAAAAGAGCTAACGACAAATTAGTTCTAATCTTTTTTAAAACTTCATAGATATTTTGAATACACACTTGCGATGGTTTTTGCAGTAAATCAATTACAAACAAACACTATTTCCTTAAACCAAGAAATAGCAGATGATCATTTTCTATAAGAGCTTTTGTGCACTTTTTGAAAATACTGCCTTTCAAAACTTGCAAACTGATTTCGCTGTTCATTGTTGGACTCAGATGTTGCAGTACTTGGAGTATAAAGCGAACCTTCATCAGACATACTAGTACTTATACTACTTTTGGGCTTATCAACAGTGTTCAGCTTTAACATATTACAATTTACCCCTGCGTCAACCAGTTCAACGTTTTTTGTTTGAGCACTTTTTTACAGAACTTTCGGCTTGTCTTGAACATATTTATGCTGTATTAAAATGTTGCACTGGCTGAATTCTTCTTATTTTGAAACTGCAGTAATTGGTGATAATCTAGCTATAACTTCAAGTTATATTCCTGAGCACTGATAATTCTCTTGACTTTCAGAAAGAGGACGCGATGAGTGGCTCAAAGCGGATCTAGCAGACTGATCAACTGTATTTCTAAAAATGTGAAATCGAAAAAAATTTCAACGTGGATAAAACCGAGGAATTACTTTTGGTTTTATTATTTTCTTTGATCCTATCATTTTCCACTCCATATGATTTTGTAAATTATTTTGCAACTAAGTTTTTAGAAAAGAGCAAGTTTCACTGTAACTATGGATAATCAGAAAATCAAAAAATTCTTTCAAACTACTTGTACTTGAAAACATA